AAAAAAAAAAAAAAAAAAAAAAAAAAAAAAAAAAAAAAAAAAAAAAAAAAAAAAAAAAAAAAAAAAAATCTCAAGAGAACAATGATTCAGTATAAGTAAATAACCAAGTAGAAAGGCTTTACGAAGTTACTTGATGCCGTCCTCGATCAACCTAACTTCACAAAGCTTTCCACCAGCTTCATCAGCAAATGTAATCTTCCTCTTCACCTTCTGGATTGCAGTTAGAGAAGAAACATTTGAACCATGCTCGGTTGTTTTCTGCAGTTAAGGGAAGAAAATTCAGTACTTTCCTTCTCTAAGAAAAATCGGATAACGCTGAGGTACTAACCATTATTTTACAAAAGCGGTTGCAGTCCCTCGACATTATGGAAAGCCATTTTCTTGCTTGCGCTTCCGCTTTCGTGGCGTCTGCAATGGCCGTTCGCACCTGCCAAAGTGCAAAATAATACATGAGGGGACAACATAATAGTTGCATGGAAGTTCAGGTGCTAATTGCCGGTATACCAAAATCTAAGCAACAATCTGTGCTAAATGTCATGTCCTCAATTGACATAAGCAGCACCCAATTAACCCTTTAATCCATTTATCTTTCGCCGAGTTACCCCCCAAAAGAAGCTGGCAATAGGTTAAAGGAAGAATTTTATTGAACATGATTCCCCACCAGCAAAAACCTCGAGAAGTGAAAAAAATAAATCCCCCCTTGCATGACTTGGTTAAACACTTGGCGTGCAGGATTGAAACTTACAGCTTAATACATCCTAGGTAATAAATACTAAGGGAAAGTGAGGTAAATGATTAAAGGCTTTACAAACACCTTCCTATATGCTAATTAATGCCAAAGGATATTAATAATGAAAGCTCTCCGAAGATCACGTCCAATAATTATCTGAAATAGGCTTGTTAAACATGAATATTGTAAGTGAACATGGAAAATTCAATTTCTCAATAAAGTAATAGTACTCATGCTGTCAATTAAGTTGTGTTCCCATGTATGTTTAGTTACCTCATCCGTGTTAAACTTGAAGCTTGTAGCTTGGTTTCCTTCAACATGAAGTCTGTCGTCAACAATTGCTTTCATTGACGTTAACTGATTTGTAAGTTTCAGAGCAAGACATTCTATGTCCTGCATCTGCCTTTGTGTGAATGCAATTGCACTGTCTGAACAATTTTGGACAGCAGTGCTTCTCATGCTAGCTTGAGGAACTTTAGCAGTGCTCGCTGAGTGAAGACTTCTCTTCTTTGATTTCCTAATATTTTTCTTATGATATATATCGGAATACACTCTCTTCATCTGGTCACACTCTTCAGTTGAGCCATCCCTGTACTTGATTTGGTTGAAATATGGTTTGCCACTACATGCTAAAATGAAAAGAGAAAAATTAGGAAAATGAAAACGAAAAGTGGACAAACTACTCCCAAACTATAGGACTAGTCATAAATATACTTTTAGGATTTCGCTAGGATTTCACATATGCTTATAAAAATAAATTCTAAAATAAAATAATTATGTAAAAAAAAAAAATATATATATATATTATTAAATGAACCCACTTCCCACGTATTAGTGCTAAGGAACTTACTAAACCAATGTTTAACTTCAGGAACTTACTTTTGTATTCTTTGTCATGTAACTGCATAGACCTCATACCCTTCGACAATCTTTTCTGAGATGTTGGAGAAATGGACTGAAAGTGAAAGCACAATAATATAAACAACCTCCGCATAATTTAAAACCAAATATTACATCAATTAGATTCAACTTACTGTTCTCTTTAACAGCAGCCTTATTGGATGTCGTTTGGGTTCTTCAGTTTGATTAAATGTGTCCAAAGAACCATCAAGATGAAAATCTGGTGGAGTATTTCTTTCTGAATCATAATAATTAGACATTTGTGGTTGTCTCTCCGTAGCTGGACATTCGCCAGTAGATATCAAATGCTGATCAGGACTTAAGTTACCATCACTGACAGAATTTGTTGAAATACTTTTTCCATGATCAGGGCGCAAGTTACAATTACTGTTAGATTCTGTTGGAATACCTTTTTCGTGAACAAATGCCGACTTGTCTTTATAACTGATCTCAGTTAAACATACTTCACCTTCAGGGCTCGTCTCTTGGACTTTGAGGCTATTCAGATTATTCAGACTTATGACCTCGTGTGTAAAGGGTATACATTGTGAAATATAAGTGTCACAGCACTGTTCCTCGGTCGGGGCAATTGCTTCAGACATATCTTCACTATTATTCTGAAATATGACCTCGTTTGTAATATAAGTGCCAGAGAGCTGTTCCTTAGTCGAGGAAATAGCTTCTGACATGCTGTAATTGGATATATAACCTGGGGTACATTGCCCCTCCAGGCTCTCTGATGCAGGAAAATCTGAATAATGGGGTTTATGTACCTCCAGGTTATCTTCATACATCCACTCGTTGCTAGATTCCCCTACCATCTGAAGAGTTTTGGGTTCATCATCTTCCAAATATTCATGGCATGCACTGTTTAGAACACAATATTCAGCTTCTTTCTCAGATGTTGTCAACTTTGGATAAAAAATTGATTCATCAGCTCCATTAGGCCCGTGTTTCAGACACGAGTTTATATTTTCATCACAAAATAGAGACCACTCATCAATTTTATAGTTTGTGCTTTGGATTTCTGTCACATCGGGTTCAGGAGTTTCAACTTTAATGTCTACTGGAACGGGTAGATCTGAACCAGATGGATGGAGATCTTGATCACTGTTGATCGGGTCAGAATTTCCAATTGTTTGGCCGCAATGTGAACTAGTAGATATTCTACCTTCGTCACATTTGGTTTTCAATTTTCTACATTTAGAAAGTTTGGATTTCCAGATGCTAAGAGCTACATTAAGATCACTATCATCCTCATCAGATAACAAGCATGCATGATCTGGTTCTAGTCTGGAACATGTCCCCGGTTTTTCCTTACTTGAGTCAACGGATCTCGACTGCCTCAACTTTCTTTTCTTGCAGCCTTCCATTATCTGCTTTAAAGTCATGTTATCAACTTCTACATCACTCTGTTCCCCATCGGTATCACCTTTATTGTCAGAATCAGAAACCTCGGGCTCATCATTGAATAGTTTTCTTTCTGCGTAAAGAACTTGGGTTTCCACCTTAAACTCACATTCATCAGGAATATTTTCTTCCAAACCTTCTCTCGACCATCGTCTTGGAAGTGATTCTTGAGTCTTGTCATCTATAGATTCATATATGTCAGTAAGCCTCTTAAATACGACTGCAGGCTTTCCATGGGAGTTGACGTTTAGAACTTTTGACATCGCACCACCTTTAGTGTCATTGATATAATGCAAATGACTGAAACTTCTTAATTCCATTCGATAAGTATAATTCTTCCCCTCGCTGAACAGAGATAATGCTTCTCCTGCCGTGAAAAATAGTTATTAAGTAATGGTAGCAATAAATTCATCAAGACAGCATGATTCTAAACAACAAAGAGAAAATTGAGGATCAAAATAGTGTAGGTCCACCGCCCAAAAAAACTTATTCATCTTCAATTTCAAGGAAAATTTCAATAAGACTGCTCCAAAATGGGAAATTGAGGAACATTGGTACAATCAAGTCCGATATAGTTGAAAACTTTGTGACCTCGTGACTCGTCGCCCAAATTATGGGTGAACAAAAGGATTGACACGTTTGTGCAGAAACAAAGGTCAGTAGCCAGGAAACTAGCAAGGCGTGAAAAATACCAGTCATCGCCAAGTAAATCCTCCACAATACACATTCATAATTTACTTTATACTCATATATTAAATTGTTAAATCCAGATCTCGACATTAACACTACTCGGCCAATTGAACAGTTCTCCTTTCGGAAAGGAGACAGCTCATTTTCACTAAAATAAACACGTCGACTTAACCATGGACATTAGAGAACTAAATCTAGTTGACGTTATGAATGAACATTCTATCAATCCGTAGGACGTTGTTCCTATTAATCCGTGGACGTTAGAGAAAGATATTCCGATCAACCACAAAGCCTGAAGTATAAGAATTAATGAACGTGCTAAACAACTCAGCTAATTAAACTTCCGGAGCTAATGTCCAATGTTTCGTCCAAATGTCTAGATCTCATTATCAAAATAAAAAATGCATCAAACTGATTCGGCTGACGAAATAAAAGGGAATATTTGCAAATCCGATCAATGAATCGACCGCCGCCGATTCGAACAATAGTACCAGAAAAGCAAAAACAAGTACAGACTAACCAGTGATAGGACTCTTTCAATCGCTGGCGTCGAGGCTGACAGACGACGGAGGAGGAAGGAGATCAACGAGCAGAAGGCGAAACAGGGCAATCCAGTGACAGAAAAAGGCGGGAGAGAGATCTAGGGCTACTTCTACCAACGGAAGAAATATTAGAAGAGACGAGATTCAGATTCGCGCCAATTCGTCTGGCGGGAAATCGAGAGACTAAATGAAACCGTACAAAAATAGAGCGAAAATGATTTTATAAACCATTTTATAGCGTGCGGTAGATGTGGCCGCTTCTCTTAAATCAGTTACTTCAAATCCGGCCGTTGATTTTGTTGACTCGTTGACTTCAGGTCTTTGCCGAGTGTTGGAGAAGATTTCTCCAATTAATTTTTGGGTCGTGTCACACCCAATCCTATCCCCAATTTATTAAAAAAAATAAAAGTCGTTCATTAAAAAGTATTTAAACATAATATATATATTTTTTAATATATACGTTGTATTTTTAGATTCATAAACATCTTCGTTATATTCCCCTTTTCGATGCATGCTTTTATACACAAAAATATTATTGGGTTCATATAAAAGTTTGTCTAGCATTGTTTTGAAATGTAGAGTCGTTATCATTTTGTATTTGCCCACAGTTATAAGAAACTTAATAAGAGTGATTTTGTAACATGAGAGTATGAGAAATACACTTACAAATAATTTAGTTACAGTGACTTACGGCCACTTGTAGTTGTAGGGAAGTTTTTTTATTTTTGAATCACGTGAATATTTATGTCTATTTATTTAATTGATATTTGCGAATATGTGAGTACGATCGATCTTGTTTGCATGCCCAATATATTCGTTATATGAGACATTAATTAATTAATTAATGTGATGTTGGTGTAACGATCTCCAACGGACAAGTTAGAAGCTACAATGTCTGTTGGAACAACAAAATTGGAAACTATTTGAGAATGCTCATCCTCATTAATAATTCTACACGTAAGTGGCTCAGACATTAGGTTGTGCCTGCATGCACATGCCACGTGGCACCATAAGACGATGCCACACATGTCCTGGAACATTAAGACAGCTAACATGGAGGAAAAAGAAAAAAAAAAAAAAGAAAAAAGGTAATCGTACGCTGTTTTACGAATCGATTCCATACTACCCCTTCAGCTTTGAAAATTTGTTATAAATTATAATAATATAAATGTTTTAAATGTTAATATTAACCAAAAACACTCAAAATCTTAATTTTAATATATATATATATATAATATAAACAAAAGGAAGGTTGGATTATGACGTTAATTAATTAAACGAATATTATGTATATATAAATAAGAGATATTGTCTTAATTGTTGTTCATTATTGTACTTAATATACTAGGCTACTCTTCTACAACAGCTCGAACCATTTATCACTAAGCTTTGGTCGGAGGAGTTTATTGCACAAAAACGTCGGGACGTAAACCCCCAACAAGTTTCGTATGCAAAACTCCGCACCTCGTTAAGATCATATTGACGTACTCTCAAAAAAGAAAAAGAAAAAAAAGTATACCCATTTGAAGATGAGAGTGAGGTACAACAAGACCAGTTCTATCCACAGCTCTTCTCGCACAACTGTACATGGATGTTATCATTCATACAGCTCTCAACCAACAAGTAGTTAACTCTCCTCGAGATGTAAATGATATTTATATAAAGTACGAGGTTTTTTTTTTTTTTTAAATGAAGGTTAAAATTATAAAGATAATTTAAAAAGATTAAAATAAAATAAAATAAAAGAATAGTTAAAGAATCAAAATATTGGTGTTTTATCCAATGGGAGGAGGAGCTTCAAACATAACGCAAAATGACAAAAGACGGAAGATTTTGGGAAGAAAAACGTTGGGAGAGAGGAGAGGAGACAGCAACTTGACCAAATTAAAACCGCTTCCCCTTCGCATTTCCCCCAACGAAATGGTCGGAAAGAAGAACTTGATCGAAGCATGTTGACACTATTTCGCCTGAGATCGCGACCTTTTCGAAAGCCCTAGATCCTGGTACAGTCTCCGTCTCTGATTTTTTTAATACCGTCAGCTCTTTTCTTTTTTCTTTTTCTTTTTTTTTCTTGATCTGTAATAACTTCTCACGGATTCGTAAAAAAAGCGAAACAAACAAAAGAAATCCAGGTAAGTTTTCGACGAAACGCTCCTGTTCCCAGATCCGAACAGAATCAGAGATCCGAAATTTAAGTTCACTCTGTATGGCGAGGTATTGAATAGCTTCTCCTAGCTTATTGAATGGCGAATCCGTGGAAAGGCAAGCTTCTTTTCATATATTTTCTATTCGTTTTTGGTATTCCCTATGTTTCTAGGGATTTTGTATGTTGTTCCAGCTCCTTGGAGCTGAACCAATCTGAAACTGAAGTCCCTTATGAAACTAGACAGTATGATGTACTGAAAAATCTCGAAGAGTTAGTGAGAAACCTTAGCGATGTAGTTAGTAAGTTGGAGCTGAGGTTATCTAATATTCCCACGGCGGTGCATAGAGATGTGAAGTTGAATACTGATGCTTCGAGGCGGGTAGTGCCTGAGGTGGTTAGTTTAGGCGGGGGTAAAGAAGATGGTTTGAATGATGGTGGACATGGCGCTTTGGACACTAGAGTTCAAGATGGGGGTAGAGGGAGAGCTGTTTCAGTGACCAAATACAGTCCATTTTGGTCTGAGAGGTTCCACTTTTTGTCGGCTGTAAAACTGGAGTCTGATGCTACTTCTATCAATGTCTTGCCGCTCAGGGATTTTGAGGGGCATAGCAAGTATGTAGCTGTTGGAGATGAGACAGGGAGGATTTATGTCTTTGTGAGAAATGGAGATGTTGCGGTTGAGCTTCGTACGGTGTCTGGATCGCCCATTACTGCAATGCTTTCGTATATGTCTATTTATAAGAACGAGACCCTTCTGGTTACGGGGCACGAGAGCGGGGCGATCTCGATGCATCGGATTTGGGAGGGATCAAATGGGGAGGAGTCGAATTCGATTTTCATGGAACATGTTTTGGAATTTGTGGTCACTGATGGTCGAGAGGAGAAGTCGCCAATTTCCATATTGGAAGTTCATCATGTTGGGAGGACCAGGTACATTCTGTCTTCAGATGTCAAAGGAAAGATCAAGGTTTTCAGAGAAGATGGTACAGTTTATGGTTCTGTCATGCCGACGAGTAGGCCGATAGCATTCTTGAAGCAGAGGCTTTTGTTCTTGACAGAAACTGGTGCTGGGTCATTGGATTTGAGGAGCATGAAACTTAGGGAGTCCGAATGCGAGGGATTGAATTATTCTCTAGCTCGAAACTACGTGTTTGATGCCACAGAGCGATCTAAAGCCTATGGTTTTACATCAGATGGCGATTTAATTCATGTTATGTTGTTGGGAGATATAATGAACTTTAAATGCAGGGTTAGATCTAAGAAGAAGTTTGAGCTTGATGAACCACTTTTCTTTCAGGCAGTTAAGGGTTATTTGCTTGTGATTGGCAGCGAGAAGGTTCATGTTTTCAACGTGTCGTCGCAGCATTATGTTAGAGTCGGTGCACCGAGGCTTCTATTTTCGGCTCGTTTAGACGAGATCAGGTCATCTTTCCTGAACAACCAGAATTTGGATTTAGAGTCTCAAGGAAAATTTATACCCTTAATATCTAGTGATCGTGAAAAGCTTGTGGTTCTTGGACTAGGAGGTGGATATATAGGAATGTATCGCTCTAATCTTCCAATTTATAAAGGAGAGTTCAACACAATGCTCTGGACAAGCCCTGTTCTGTTTTTCATACTATTTCTCTTTGGAGCTTGGCAGTTCTTTGCCAAGAAAAAGGAGGCACTCACTTCATGGGGACCCGATGACCCTTTTACTGCCACTTCACCAACTACCGGAGCTCCACTGGGAACTGGATCGACCGAGCGAACGTCTTTCATAGACACTCCTTCGAGAAGTACTGATATGCGAACATCTTTCATAGACACTCCTTCGAGAAGTACTGATATGATGGATCTCAGAGGAGGCAGCGGCCTAAGAGGACCGCCACGGCGTTATGGTTCTCCTACAGGGTATCCTGGCGGGGTAACGAGTTCTTTTAGGCCAGCTACGACAAGTGACCATAGCTCGAGACAGGCTGCAGTTGATCCAAATTATAGAGCAGCTTCTGAGCTCAAATTTAGGGGATCGCCGTTAGAACCTCCGGGATTTCCGAAACGAAGGGAGCCTCTATTTGCAAACAACCAGGTGGTGAATCAGGTGGTGGATGAAAGCAGTTAAAGGAAAAGTAGGTATCAGCTAGAAATCTTTGCTTCATAGAGTTCAAGTTCTTGAATCCTGATTACGTTATCTTTTTTCCCAATTGCTCGTTTGCATTTGCTGGTCGGTACGAACGTGTTTGATCTCGCTATATTACTATATCTCTATGTTTCTAGTTGCATGCAAAGGAGAAGGAAAAAAAAAAAAAAAAAAAAGAGTGAAATAATGCAATTTTCTTCTTGAAATTGTTGTTCACCTTTGCATACTTCTGCTGATTCCATCATGCCTGCTCAATGTTTTAACGGTCTTTAACTTAAATTCAAGTTCTTCATGAGATGTATCATGTAAAATTATACTATCAAGTAGAAATACGAAGAATCACGAGTTTACGAATATTATAAACAACTCGTCTTGAAACACGGTTCATGCTTGTCTGGGTAAGCTTAGTTCTTAACGTTTGAATCGCCTTGCTTACAAACTGTGATCTGTATAATGTTCTTCTTGCTCGGTGTAAAGTTTGTACCATTTCAGACAGCGACACGGACCAAACCGATTCGGTTTGTTCGATCAATAGCCTATATGAATAGCATTACTGCAAATTCCCCAGATCATGCATTGTTCTACACCTTGGTTGGATGGTTGTGGAGTTTCTTGCTCGTCAGCTTCAAATTCATTTAAAGTTCGGGTTAAGACGAGGCTTGTTTTCCAAAGCTGTCCTAAACTCCCATATCCAGATTAAGGGTTAGGAGATTTTATAATATGCAACCAAACCTACAACCTCGGATCTACAACCTTTTCTTTTTTAAAATCAAATCCCTCGTCATCATCTTACACGTGGCGAGATTCTCCCTGTACACGGTTGGTCGGAGAAATTATTCTGTCACGAGTTCTTTTAATCTGATTAATTTGCTTAGGGGTATAATCGTCTTTTCGTGGCTCTGGTTTTAAAAAAATGGAATAAATAATTCGACTATACGTCATGCACCGGCTGAAGTTGTCCGACTTGGCCTACGAAAATTAATAAACCCGCAGATCCGGACACGTGGCGTCCGTGGGGCCCAGGGTAATCCACCAAGACGTAGTTGGAAACTTAACCATGGTTGGCGCGCAGCTTTAATAAGAAGAAAAAAAGGAAAAGATAACCGAAATTTTAAATTTCTGGCTATTTCTTCAACAACACCTCTCTGCGAAGTGACCGCCGCCTCGAAGGATCACGCATTCCCGGCGAAAAATCCGACGACCGGTTTAGAAGAATCCTCCAACGGCGGCGGTTGCGGCATCTTGCTCGCCAGGAGTTGAAATCGAAATAATCGACGCCGTAGCTGTAGCGAAGAAGAAGCGGAATGTCCCGGGGATACCAGATCCGGCGGCGTTGGTGATCGTTCTATCGCCGAAATCGCTTCTAGCAACAAACCGATTCCTGTGCGAGATCTGCAACAAAGGATTCAAACGAGACCAGAACCTTCAGCTTCATCGAGGCGGCCACACCTTGGAAGCTCCGGCAGCGGACGAGCAATGAGATTCGAAAACGAATCTACATCAAGCTCAGCCTGCAGGACTTCATGATTCTCAAACAAATTATCGTGAGATTCACATGTGAACTGAATCCTCAGCCGAATTGAAAATCCTAAATTTCATGAGACTCACAAGAACGTACACAAGCTACGCAGCACAATTGAAAAATCCCAAGAAGAATCATACGAACAAGTTTATTCGGGATGATATTAATTAATGAATACTTGCACATGATGGTGAGGGTAGTTTGTTTTCCATATATTTATCATCTACAAGAATTTACAGATGATGACATCCCAAATTAGCATTGCCGTGGTGTACCTGCAGAACACCAAAGAGACAACACCTCAGAATTCAGATTAATAGGCTTGCTTAAGCTTGCTTTCTCAAGGCAATTTCTGACACGTTCAAATATTGTCAACCCTTTCAATTCCATTCCCAAAACAAAAACTTTAGTTCAGGCACCAACATATTAAATCATGTTTTGACGCTCAACCTCACGGTTTTAAAATGTGTCCTCATGGTTTTATAAAATGTGTCCCCACCTCATGGTTTTAAAACGCATCTTTTAGGGGAGAAGAGAGGTTTTCACACCCTTATAACGAATGCTTCGTTTCCCTTTTCAACCGATATGATATCTTACAATCTACCCCCACATTAGAGGCCAACGTCCTCGCCCGATAACTGGCTCTAATATTAGTTGTAATAGTCCAAGCCCACCGCTAGAAGATATTATCTGCTTTGACCCTCGACCTCATAGTTTTAAAATGCGTCTTCTAGGGAGAGGTTTTCACACCCTTATAAGGAATGTTTTATTCCCTTCTCCAACAAATGTGGGATGTAACACACAAACTCACACCATACTAGGTAAAAACTAAACTCTACCCGAATATTATGTTTGTTAGATATATATATTATACAGGCCAAGAAACGCACTCTAGTAGTACCTAGATAGATGGATGGGTGCGTAACTTCCCCCATCGTAACAGTTCATTCCTGGACAAACTAAAACTACACACGAACTAGTGAATTCAGTCGTTTTTCTGATGCAAAACAATATGGGTGTTATTATTACCATTCAGAGCAGCAAGATAAACACGCTTCTCCGCGAGTCCAATATCCGAAAGCATCATATTTCCCTGCGGATAAAAAGCAGTCGTCATAACTTTAGCTCGAGCTCTGAAAATTGTGATTGCATAGGAAACTATCTTGAAAGAAAATTAATCAGAAAGGTCCCAAAAGTTTTTCTCGTTGTCTCCTAAATGAATATAGAATAGCGCAACGAAGGAGAAAGCATACCTCTTTGGCCATCAACCTTCTAACATTATTAGCATAAAGCTTCGGATCATTCTTTTCTTCTGGTGATGGGACATAGACAGGCAGTCTTATTACCTCCATGTGATTTACAAATTGACAGAGAAGAAGTAAAAAATGACGGCCCTGCCAATAAGAATTCAAATCTCTCTTAATCTGGGTGGTCCTGAAACCTTTTACAATATCAAAAGGGTTGCCACAAACGAGGTGGGGTTCAACAATTTGAGGTAAAAGCAACAAACTCATGTAAGGCGCTGTGGGTTCAAACGATGTGTGGGGTATTAAAAATGTTCAATATTTAGAAAGTCCAACACATCAAAAGGTACTGCACCATTCGATTCGATAATGTTTAAGAAGACATGATGAGAGGGCAAAGTAGAATAAAATAGAATGCCTTACTCCTGTTATTGATTCCCAGGCCAAACTAAATCTCTGATACGGATATCTTAAAATCAATGGAAGAACAGGAGCTCTCGACAAAAATGCACCCGTTTTGAATGGAAGGAGAAACTCCCCATTAGTAGTTGTTCCTTCTGTAGAAGTAATAATAACACATTAAACAACTTGGACGATGAAAAAACCACAAGCAAAATTCTTAACTAGTCCTTAGATTATCACAATAGCCATTCTCACAAATAAATTTGCCGATATTCATACTATTTTTATTGCTATCTAAGAATCAGAAGCCAAAAGAATGAGGCTTTTTGCCCCCAACATTTTTAACAATTACAGCCAAAGTTTTAGCTGAAACGCTCAAGAAAGCTCTCCCTCTGTTTCTTCTTCCCAATTTTCTTTCATGGAAGACAGAGAAACTAATGACTCTTGTTTGGTGGCTAATGAGCTTACTGATGATCATGTTACGATTTAAAAAAAAAAAAAGAAGTTCTGGAAGAAACAAAGCCAAAAGCTTTTTTAGGAACTATGAGAAAGGAGTCAGATAATTTCAAGCACTGTGAGTTAGGTAAATGTATACCTTGCTTAAATAACAAAGCCAAAAGTCCTCAACTATCAAAAGGAGATAATTTGAAGCATTGTGATTCTCTTAAGTTAAAGGGGCACGCATAAATCAGGAAGAAACAAAATAAAAGAGAATGTGGTTAAGACCACATTAAGAAACCTGGAAAAAGCATCATCATGGGAGCAGAGCTATTCTTCACAGCTTCTCGAATTCTTTCACTCACAACACCTACAAGCAACAGGATGATTAATATCTGAAGACCAGATGCGGAATTACAGATGAACATCAGTTAAGAGCTATTTCGTGGGACTAATGTCCTTGAAGGAACTCTAATGCAAGAATCGTGCGGTATTGAGGATTTACAATAATATTGTGCAAACAATGATGGTTTCCTTCCTATGTTGTCTTAAAAATACTAACGAACTCAAATCTATGACTATAAAGCCAATGGAATGAGTATCTCTAAATAAGTTTCAAAAAGCAACAACAATCTACCTGAAACACCCTTGGAGTCAGATGTCTTTGACTCCCGTTGAACATAAACACAGCCAAGGCACTTGCTGTCACAAACAACAACAGCTAAACTTGAGCAACATAAAACGTCAAACAGGTTCAGGGGTAATTTTTGGATTTTCCCCTAAATTTTGAAGATTAACCTTCGATGAAACCAATATTTTGAAAGTTGGGTTTTTGTAAAATAATTCAATGAAACCAATATTTGGGAACCGAATGCATATGATGCAATACAGTAGAGGAGTCAAGATGTACCAGAAAGAACAAGGCTAACCTGATAATACCAACTAGAGGAATGTTAGCCACTGATCTCTTCAGCCAAACAAAGGAAAAGAAGAAAAATCGAGGATCAGAAAAGCAGAATTTGTCACTCGTTGTAGTAAAATTAGAAAAATTATGTCTGAACAAACCTTAGCAACAAAGCTTGGAAAGGAAGAAGACATATGATACAAGATATCCAAATATGAAACATGGTTGCTGATAATAGCCCCGGGTCTTTCAGATTCTTGAGACTTCTCTTGCCCCTCGTTCTAGACATCATTCAAGAGGAAAGAGCAAATAACAGTGAACAGGAGAACAATCTCAAAGATGCAGAGTTTAAGATAACTATGAACTCAAAATGTACAAGAAAGCAGAACAGAACAATGACCGAGTCTCAACTTGGATAAGATAGCAGAAATTAAAGCGCACCTCGTTAGTTGACTTGTCCTCATTTGGCAGGATCCGATAAACTTCCGAAATCCAATAAAACCCTAAAACGAATAACATGGCTCTGGACAGAAATCTTCCGGTGCAAACAATTACGGACCTCCTCCATCCCACCATGTGCGCGTAGTCCTCCTGCTCATCCGTCTCCCTATTCGGATCGTGAAATAACGTACAAACTCTGCAAATCATGTAATAGAGGAACAGCAAACTCATCCCAATAACCACCCGTATAGGAACGATTGTAACGAGCGCTATTGCGAGCAGCACCTTCTCCATCCACGGCAGCTCCCCTCGGCCCATGGTGCCGTAAACATCTCGTCGGACAAACGGAGCATATTTCTGGTGGAGATCGTCGGAATCGTCGTCGGCAACGGCGTCAGAGTCTGGATTCAACAGTGGACGATCGTCCTGGGCAGAAGACTCATCGGACGCGTTGGATTGGGGCGGGTCGAACCTCAATTGGTGGAGCTCAGACGCCATTTCCCTATACAGACGCGATTCCGATCCGATCAAGATTTCTATGCTTCGCCAAGCTCCTCAGGAGCTTCCAGACTAAGATCGCGTTGTCACGACCGTTTTCTTTTTGCTCCTATCTCTTTCATTTTTAATTTAGCTTCCTTAATTTTTTAAATTATAAATTTAGTTTTCATTTTTTTAATTTTTAAAAATTTTAAAAATTAGCATATACCAAAGTTTAAAATTGGATATAAAATTTTATTTTATTTCTAATAGATCCAATAATTTTTTTTTTTTAAATATCTATAGCTCTAAAATTCTTTAGCTATTAAATTATAAGTTGATAATTGTTTAATAATTTAATTCTCGTAGCGTTAAAAACACGTTTATTTCTTGACTTCTATAAATGTTTTATTATATGTATTTTGTTATTATCAAGTAAAATGAATAAATTTTATAGACTAAACTGATATTAAAAATATAGAAACTAAATTATTATAAAATAAATTGTTACGATCAAAATAATTTTTTAATACCATCAAAATGTGTAATTAGACAATAATGTAAATTTAATTTAGGAACATAAAATTTAATTTTATACGTTGATTTACAGCAAGGAATAGCGAATAAGATTTAATTGGTATAATAAAATTTATCGAGTCACGTGTCTACTGTTTGGCAGTTGGCTAAATTAATCACTTTATCTATAAAAAGAATATTTATAAATTTTTAAAAGTTTAAATATTACCCTCAAATTTTAAAAATGTTAAAAAATATAATAATCATGATTAATGTTTAAAAAATACTATTAAAGCATATACTGTGTGTAGCTGTGTGCTATGGATGTTTTGAAATGAACTGTGAATAAATCTAAAATGGACAGAAAATTGAGCCCAGTAAGATCGGGACGGAGAGGAATTTCAGCATGATATCCAGTTCTTATGAGTGCTAATCAATGCCGAGATAAGCCCAGCCCAAGAAATTGGAAGAGGACCTGAAAGCCGGCCATTCCCATCGCGAATGTCCGCCGCCGCCATGAATCCATCGGCAAAATCTTGAACAATCGAAAGCTTCTTCATCAGCTTTTTCGTTTGCAATTTCTTCATCTTCTCTTCCTCTTCCCGATGTTTATCTCCTCTGGTAACTGCAATATCAATACTCGCTTTCAAACACGCCTCGTCTTCGAGAATCCGTTTCAAATCCCTAATTTTCAACGAAATACTCCCGATATAGCCGATTAATTCCGCCCATGCGCTGATCTTCTGCAAGTGATTCGAGTGCCGTTTGTCAATTAAACCAGATTTAGCCAACCAAACGAACTGTTCGATAAAGTAATAAAATCCCTCTCCGCCATAGGCAACGAGAGCGAGCAGAAGTTGTTGGCTAGATTCGAAATGCGAATTTCTCAAGGCGTTTAGGTCTTGGATGAACTTGCCGAGACGGAAGGCTTTGCGACTGACGCCGACGCTGGATTCGAAGCTCTTGAGACGGTGCGTTAGAGGAAGGGATTCGGGAAGAGCGGATGAGGAGAGGATGATCTTGGTGGCGTACCTGGAGATTTTCAAGAGCTTGTCGACGCCGTCTCTCTTTGCGAGGTAAGCTTCGAGGTGATTGAAGAAGTCTCTTTGTTTCTCGGTAGAGGAGGGGGGAGCTTTGGAAGCCATGGCGGTGCTAGCGGCGGGAAGTTTCTGTTTCCCCCAAATGGACCGGAGATTGGAGATTAATTTGAGAGATGAGATATCCAACGACGTCGTTTTGGGGATTCTGATTTTGTTCTATTTATTCGTGCCATGACATTCGCTAAGTCAGAGAAAATAATAATAAAAGAAAAAAAGAAAAAAACGAGAATTTGCAGGAGACGGAGACCATAAGCTTGGAGGAGAGTGCTTGGACTTTTGTTTTTGTTTTTTTATTTATTATTATTTATTTATTTTAATTTTTGTTTTTTTAACTCTCTCAAAATACTTTTCATTTTTACGTTAGATCAACTCATATTTATCTAATAGGTGAATATTGTTTAATGAACAAAGTCCCACATGTCAGCTAATTTAGGAAATCATCATGAGTTTATAATATTGTGATGAGACTTTTTATGCTCAAAGTAGACAATATCATACCATTACAGAGAGTCGTGTTCATCTAACAAATATATCTTGGTTTAGAACCTTTGAATGATTTAATCTAAACATAATCATGTTGAAACTGTCGAAGAAGACAACCCATGGCAGTCAGCTTGAATCTGTAGTCAAGATATGCAAGGACAGAACTTTCTTGTCTTTTATTACGTTGTCAAATGTATTCATTAAAAGTGTGTGGTCGAACATGGAGCTTGTCGGGCTCTGCCATAAACACATCCAAACAGCTCTCATGGCCCCCACACTACAATCCCAATCCCAATCCCGATCCATTTTCAGTTCCATCCAGTGGAAAATTCAAGCAAATGGTTGAACTGAATTGAAACAGAGTTTGAACGAGGAAAAACAGAGCAATATGTGTTCTTCATTTCAGTGTTTTTAATATGACATATATCAAAATTCCCAGATAGATTATGAATCAATCAAAACAAGGTTTCTTACTGTTGTTATCATTTTGAGCCTTACCGCTACCAAGTGTGAGCTCTAAATCCTCCAATCCAACTTCATGGATCTTCTCCCCTTCCCAGGGCTTAACCTTACAGCCCAAGAACTCAAATTCGTTTCCTCTTCCATTTTCTTTGATGAAACCACCGTGCAGAGCATGCTGATCAGCAGATTTCATAAGGTTGAAGGTGGGAGAAGTTGGTGCACAGGCACGGAGAAGTGCCCACTGATTGGAGTCATTGGTGGATGATTCAGACTCATCGCATTCGTGGATCGTGGCGGGAGTATGCAGCAGCTGAGGGCGTGTCGGGCTAGCTGGGGCGGATACTGCAAAGAAAGGGTAATTCAACAAGGACAAGGATTCTTTAGCCGTGACCTCCCAATTTGAGGCAGGGGATGAAAGAGGAGGCGTCACGGGAGCACTGTTTGAGATTCTAAGACCAGGAAGTGATTTGGGAATCGCTTGGCGAAGATATGGAATGAGGTTTGATGGATGGTTGGCGTCCAAACGGGACGGGCTCGGGAAGGAGGAGGAGGAGGGACTGACTTGATAGGATGCCATTGGACTAGGAAATGAAGAAGACAATGGGCTTGGATTTTGAGATGTGTAGGGGGTGGCTCTGGTGGAACTGCCGACGATATCGATTGGGGGCGGCCTGCATCCCTGTACCAAGAACAAACACAAAACCATCTATCATTTCATTTCTAGGGCACAATCGAACTGAACTCACAAAATTTCAACCAAATTCAAATCAATTACAAGAACGAAACCCCCGATCGACTTTCCAGATCGATCATGGTGGCGATTCGAACAGATCAAAATTCAAATCCAACAGAGACAAGAACAAGTACACAAATCGCTACTTCCGATTACCGATCGAGAGCAAGAAAAGAAGAGGAAAATCAACCGACCTTCCGATAGGTGGTTCCGTCGTCTTCGACGGTCCAACCAGCATCAGCACAGAGGGCTTTAAGGACCTCGTTATTGTCACAATGTTTAGGCAAATTGAAGTTGCCTTGAGCCCTAAGGCCAGCGTAGATCTTAGCCGCGATGGCTCTCCTTCGTCGTTCTCTGGTCCGATTATTCTCCCGCTCCCTCCAGGACGGCTTCCGCCGGCTAATGGTGGCAGAAGTGGCGCCGTCGGAGGTCATCTTCCGGTTTTCCGCAGCGAGAATCCCGCAGGAAATGGAAAACGGCTGTGGGATTTGGATTATAGGAAGAAGAAGTGGTGAGGGAGGGTGGGGTATTAAAGTACACGGAAGAAATGGAGAATTTTACAGTAGGAAAAGAAGACAAAGAAGTAGAAGAAGACCACGACCACGACGACTGCGGTTTGATTTCCTTGTCCTTTGACTTTGGGCCCCACATGGTTGAAAACGGCGGGGCCTCCTGATCGGACGGTGATTAAGAGTCCACGTCAGACCACCACTGACACGCGTGATGATCTATTTTCAACCAAAATAATAATATATACACATATATACCCTAAAATTAGTTAATGATTAAAAAAATGTTTCTTTTTTCCAAACCAATTGAAATTCGACTAAAATTTGGGACTCATTTTTTAGTCTGATTTATTATATAAAATTATTATATTTCTTTTTATTTAAATATGGGTAGAAAGTAGATAAATTTAATTTAGGGATATTACATTGTTTGTTTTATTATTGTATACAAATGTTTTCTAATTATTAGAAGAAGCATAAATGAGTTAGTTATGATGCAAATAATTAGCAGCAGGGTGGGGACGTGGCTGACACGACAGCTTTCCTTTGAGGGATTAGGGGCACACGTAGATGCCCATGCTAGGCAAAAGATCAAAGCATGTGGGCGCCCCCCATATGGCTTTGGAAAATGACCCATTACTCGAATTCAAGGCCATAACCCCACCCCCTGCATGAAGATAGATGCATGAAGATAGATGCATGAAGATAGATGCATGAATCTCGGCATTAGGAGGGAGCGTAACAGCTTACAGGGAAGGCATACCATGGCTTGTGTGATTGCGAAGCGTCGTGATTCCTAAAAATGGTATTTGGGATTCATCTCTCGAGCAAACGTGCAGCAACCCGGCTTTGGCATACTCCTGCAGATGCTCCACATTAAACAAACAACCACCGAAACTCGAAATACCATAGATAACATCCTTCTATGGAACCAACTATGATTAGAACACCAAGAGCATCTTTACACTCTTTTCAAACTCTATATCTCGTGAATACAGCTTCTTCTTTCCTTTTCAATTCCTTTTGTGCGTTTGTTTTTTTAGGATCTCTTTTATAAGATAAGACAGGACAGCCGCAGGATGAAGGGCTTCTTCTGCTTTACAATCGAAATAAGGAACCTTAGAATAAACCCTACCTGTTGATCAAAAAATGGGATTGGAAAGGAGTGAAGCTGCTCGACCGGTAGGGAGAGAGCGGGAGAGGACCACCTGTCGGGCGAGAAGAAAGAGGTTAGTCTAAAATATGAAGACATGCGGACCTTATAACCTGGACCAAGGTTGTGAACCTGCCTCAAATCAGACTTGGACATGGAAACAATGAAAACAGTTTCTGAGTAAGATAAACTTAGAAGTAAACCTAACAAATTTTAGAAATGAAGGCATCTGAAAATATCCCAAATGACAGAAGAACAAAACAGTGGTTTTCTGACATCTGAAAACATCCGGAGGTTCTTTATGAAAAACAACCATTAGTTTGGTTGGAAGAGTAGGGTCGTCAGATCAACTTGCAACGTTGAAAAAACAGAGAACAGCAATTACTAATATTGTTTGGATGACAAATAACACTTCTCAAGAACACCAAAAGGCAAATGAAAATCCTTAGGTTCATTAATAAATAGGTACGAGAGTCCAAATAAACCGTTCAAGCTTATCCCTAACAAATATTGTCCACTTTTGACTTTTCGTTATGGGCTTCCTCTCAAAGTTTTAAAACACGTCTACTAGGGAGAGATTTCCACACCCTTATAAGGAATGTTTCGTTCCCCTCTCCATCACAATCTCCCAGCGTCCTCGCTGGCACACCAACCGATATCTATCTCCGATATCATTTGCAAGAGCTCAAACCCACCACTAGTAGATATTGTCCTTTTTGGACTTTCCCTTTTAGACTTCCCTTCAAGATTTTAAAAGACGTCTACTAGGAAGAGGTTCACACACCCTTGTAAGAAATGTTTTGTTTCCCTCTCCAACCGATGTGGGATAGTAAAATGTTGACTAGGTCGCTACCATACCATGTAGAAGCACCTTATATATTAATGATCAAGAAATTCAGCTTCCACATCCACGGATGTCTCATTGACTACTCTGTGATTGAAAGAGGATCCTGAAGCAGAAGGGGAGCACATAAATTGCCAGGAATTTACAAACACCAGTAAAGAAGGAAGTGGATGAAGCCAAAAACAATGGAAGATTAGTTTGTCAAAGTTATTTGTCCCCCCTTATGGAAACTTTTGGCTCCACACCCACCCAACAAGCATAATGTTAGCACATAATTCAAAAAATATCACATTCACACAACGCAGGAACTTAACCAAATCGTACGAGTGTGTGTGTGTGAAACGAAGATTACCAGATCACTATTGGAGCTCCAGACTTTCCAACACATAAAAATCACTAATCAAGAACCAAATACAAATGATGAACATTAAGATGAACTTATCAATTCTAACTCACAGGGAATTTTATATTTTCATTCAAGCTTTACGAAATGAAATTATGTTCTAACAAAAAGTATAATCCAACAATCCTTGTTCTCTAATCCCTAAGAATCGTGGGGAGTAACCAGCAGGAGCAACCTTAAACCGTGAGTATGAACGATTCAAAACACGAACTGCATCTACGAGTATGAAAATCGGATCCACGAACAGATCAATTCCAGACACCAAAAATACATAACAGAGTTCATACCTCGCTAAGCGGTCCTCCATTTTCAGAACTCTCACTGTTTCACAGATCCTTCCTATCAACGCCCGACGACGGACCGAACTGGAAAATGTGAACCGGCCGAACAGTAAGCCGACCGCTTCACGGTCCAGACCACACCCCGTCGCAGCTTCGGAACGGAAAAGCAGAAGGTCCTGGAATGACCTAGAATGATTCCAGGACATTCCCGACTTCTGGATGACACGTCGTCGTTTTATCTTTTAATTTTTTTTTATAAAGAGCGGATACAGTCGGTTTCCGGTCAGTAAATTGTTGGGTCCACTCGATGGTTATTTTGGGCATTTCGGTTTGGCTTTGCGTTGTCTCGGAATCCGCGTGGTTTCTGCGTGACGCAAAAGTCCACGACGGAATTTTTAATTATCTTTTTGCCTTTTTATTTTCTTTAATTCAATTTATACGGAATAATGTATTTAAAAAGTTTAAAACTCTATAAATCCAAATATATATTTTTAGTTCAACCGTATAAAAATAAAAATAAAAAATTAATTTTAATATAGAGATCAAATAAAAATTAAATTAAGTCTATTTTTTTAAAATATCAATATTTATATATGTGCATGAAAATGGATAATTTTAAGAGATTAGGGACAGTTTGAGGAAAACTATAAAGATCGGGAGCTATTTGTGTATTGTGTTTTAATAATTATATTATTTATTTTAGATTCGTTTACGTTTCTTCAGGGGAAGTGTCAGAAAATCAACGAATCAAGTGACCATTCTATCCATTAAGGAAGAGGTCAGAACAGGATCATAGATTCAGTGTCTTGTCAGAGCCATCCACGTCAGATTACTGGTCAGCTGGAGAATGTGGAAATTACAATAGTGGGCAGAAACGGGCAATGCCCGGCAAGAACGGGCAGCAGGGGAAGAGGGTCCACCGACCGGGACACATCCACTCGCAACTCCGCAACGACTGAGCTGAGGGCCATGACGAAGCGTAGTGTGAATCGAATTCGTCATTTTGACCACCCCGTTCGGTTTATTTAGAACTGTTAACTGTGTGCGGGAGTTAACGGTAACCATGGTTGGGTTTTGACGGCCATTCCGCCGTTCCCAAACCCTATATATGTATCCACCCGCTCTCTCTCATGACAAACGAGGAGACTTCAGCGAATCGTCTTTCCAGCTCTCTGATCGACGATCTTCCAGGTTGGGATTCTCTGATCCGCCCCCATTTTGTGAATATTTGTACTCGTATCTACTATTCTCTCAATCTTTACTTGATTTTTCCGTTCTGTTTGATTCTTCGCTGAAAATCATGTTTGGATGGTGATGATTGAAGGATCGAGTGGTGGGTTTAGGGTTTAGGGTTTATTTCTTGTAGTTGATCGGTGTGTTTGTTTCCTCTCTGTCTTTATGATTGAAATTATGTAATGTAATGTAATGATCGGCTAACTTGTTGTTGATTTTGAACGATACGTGATTTGGGTTTTATGAACCCCAAATCAGCTATTTGGAGATGTGGCCTGCATGCAATTGTTGGGTGGGAACATTTATATCTGATCTTCTGTGTCGCTTATATTACAGCTCGTTGCAGCTATTTTTTGAATTAACAGAGTGATTTTTGGACCTTTTTTTTTGTTCTCTTATTTCTTTCTTTACTGATGAATCGATATGTACGCACTGTGTGGCTTGATCATTTTTGCCTCATCATCTGAATTATTTGTTCATGTAAGAGAGATTCCATTGCTTATAGGTGATCAATTCGTAGTCGAGATTGGATTGATTTGATTTGAAGCTTAATTGAGTTTCGTTTTGTGATTTCTTTTGGAACAGCTCTAGACAAAAGTAGACAAGAGTTCTGTCTTCTCCTTGTTACCATGACTCCTTCAACGGTCACCTCTTCGACTATACTTGATTTATTTTCTACTGACAATGAGACTTTTTTAGCATTATGGAGAATAAGGAGTGGAGGATCTTTTCCTGCAAATGTTCATGATATAAATCCTTACCAGTGTAAACCTGAAAATTTACCAGGTACTTTTTCACAAGAATTCATGTTGATAATTTCCCAAGTTTTCCAGCAAATGTTCATGATATGATGATGTTCTTCAAGGCTCAGGCCTCTTGAATTGCCGCGTGTCGAACACTGTATTTTCAGTTTATATCATAAAACAATTTCAATGTTGATTCCTTGCTTCAATTTTCAAAACAGTGTCAAAGTTACGAAATACAAATTTACAGCTGAGACATGCTTGTTTAGTTTCAATGAAGCTTAAGGTACTTTTTATGTCCAGATGGAGTTTGGTATTATGTTGAGGGCAATGTGGATGCTGGCTCAAGTTTCGGTCGCTGGAAGCTGAAAGATGGAGATTGTAAACTGTATTCAAGCTCTTCCTTCACTGGAGGGAGAGCAAGTTATGAATATTATGAAGGTCAAGCACCTTATGAGAGTAAAACAGCCTGGGTTATGCAAAAGTACTGGATGAATCAGATGGACCTGCGTGCCACCTTCGAGCAAAAGGTATGTCCTGCAAAATCTATTTGCCAAAAGGTTCATTGGCTGACATTGCCCTTTTTTCTTTTCCTACCCAACCTATTAGTAGTCAATTGCTTGTTTGGTTGGGCAATATGCAGGAGACCAGCTCACTTTGCAAAGTCTTTCTTGGAGATGAACAGTTTCAAAACAATGAAATGATTCAGAAAACCGAATTTTCTAGTATTCTCAATTCAGAACCAATCCTAAATCATCAGTTGGTTGTTACAGATGGTTCGACTTCGAATAACATGGCGAGTGGATCGACAAGCAAGTCTAAGGTTGTAATCATTATCCCAGCCACCCCCCCCCCCCGATGTCCATGCATTTCTTTCTTAAAGTTTATATGAGACCGGTTTTGGAAACTGATTGCTCCCATCTTCTCTCCATTTCCTTCTCTGCTGGGTTCAGAGTCGCAAATGGTGTCTTTGTTTTCAGTTAATGACAAATGATGTTTTGTAGATGAATGAAGATGACAAGATGGTAGAATTGGCAGATGCAGGAAAACGTTTGGATAATCATTTAGAAGATATCCATCCTGAGATGGATTATTGTTTAGGTGACGACTACTTGGAATTGCTGGATTTAGATAACCCAACATCTTCGTCATCGAGTTCTGAAAATTCTAGTTGCTTGTCCATGTCGTCGAATGAAGATTTTGATACAATGGATGTTCTATGTGATGTAGAACGTGAAATTAACCATGACAGGGGACGAAGAGATGCTGCCTGCATCCATTCCTCTGCACCCTTCAAACTAAAGAAGGAGGTGGTGCATCAAGTGGCTTCAGGTTTGTCCACTTATTTTTTGCATCCTCCTGGTGTTTAACTTTCATTTTGTGCAGAACAGAACATTCTGCTACGTGGTTACTGAATGGAACCATATGGGTTGTGCTATTCTTTCGTATGTTCTCCAAAAAACCAATCACCATAGAGAGAATTATTCTGATTTTATGCCCAAGCTGCTAATATTTCTCTTTATATGTATCCCTGCCCTTCTGTTTGTCAATAATAGTCTCACATTGGTTGATTGGTTGGTTGGTTGGAGAGGAGAATGAAACATCCTTTATAATGGTGTGGAAACCTCTCTCTAGTAGACGGATTTTAAAAACTCTAAGGGGAAGCCTACAGAGACAATATTTGTTAGCAGTGGACTTGAGAAGTTACAAATGGTATCAGAGCCATACATCGGGCAGCGTACTAGCGAGGACGTTGGGCCTCCAAGGGGGTGGATTGTAAGATCCCACGTCAGTTGAATAAAAGAATGAAACATTCCTTATAAGGGTGTGAAAAATCTCTCCCTTGTAGACGCGTTCTAAAAACCTTGAGGTAATGTTTGTACAAAGAGAACAATATCTGCTAGCAGTAGATTTTGGTTGTTACAATCTCTCACCTGCATGCTCGAGTAGAGTTATTTAGACGAAAATGTAAAATTGTCATCATGGTTTCAACCATAGATTCACAGTTACGAAATGCATATTCACTTTAGATCTAAACACACGACTTCTCGTTTTCCCTCTCGAAAATGCAGCAGGAAAATTACATCGCTTACTCATAATAACTATCCTTCTTGTTCACAGATTCTCTTGTCACCATCATAAGAAGCCACACAGCGGCCAAAGAGACTCCCAAAACCGATTCGTCGGCGAACATGAAACTCCCAAGCCAGAGTAAGAAAGAAGGGTACAGAATGAAAGGTGCATCATCAAGTTGTCACAACAAGGTGGTCTCAAATGGTGAAGAAACAGGTGTGGATGGAGGAAAGAAGAGGGTTGGCAGAAGGGAGAAGAGTCCAAAGAAGTACTTTTGCTTCTTTGCTCTTTAGATCTTCCTCAGCATCAGTTAGAGTAAGTAAGTTAGTGATGGGATTAGACCAGATTAACAATGGTTTTGAGCAGACTACTGAAACCTTTCCTTTCAAGTCTGCAACATCATACCTTAAAAATTATCCTGTTTGATTAAGTTCAGTTCAGTTCAGTTCAGTTCGAACTGCGTTTCTAGAGATGATGTTCTGTAATTGTAATTGTAATTCAAATGAGTTGACTTGACTTCATTCATAGCTTGCTGAAGTCAATGTAATTGTAGAGGGCCCCACTCGTCTTTTGAGGAGTAACCAGCCCACCATTGTAACTAGTTCATGTTTCTTGTGTTTCAGTAAATGTTTTCGTTTATCTTTTCTGTAATTGTTGTTTTCTTGTCGGGTAGTTTCTTTCTTTTTTTTTTTTTTTTTTTTTTT